GTAGGTGAAGTGTTTGCCCAAGGACACAACGACCGAGACTGTCCGAACCGGCAACCTTTCGATTACAAGGCAAACTCCCAACTCTTGAGCCACGATCGCCCTTGCCCAGTACTCTGTTATTATGGGCACAGCACGATATATGATGTTGTAAGACCTGCTTTGTTTCAGAACATGAGATGTTCATGGACATTGAGCTAAAATATGATTTATTTAAGTGTTATTTGTGATTAAATATTATGATTTTTCTTTTCTTTTCTTTTTTTTTTAAGCTTTGTCACGGTTATATAAAACAGAGAGGTTTGGACAGGCAATTTATCTAAATGCTAATCAACCTTTATAACCACTAAAGCACACCCTCTATTCATACTGGAAATCTGACTTTTGGCAAAAGTTCATTGTTAATAAATGGTGCACAAAACTTTGTGTTTGTTCAGCACACACAGTTCACCTTTGCGTAATTTCTCCCATGTACTGAAACAGCAATTTCTTCACATAAATCAGTCAAATCTAGGAAAAGTTCCCACCCCAGACCTTCACAATCAGCTAAGTGGATTTGCAGATTCATACACATACAGTGCTAAAAACACAGTGGATCTTGAAGTCTATAATCTTTTTTCTTTCTGGTTTCAGAAACTCACAGCAGAATGTCAAAGTGCTGCCCACAATGTCATTGTCATGCATTACAAGTGTGACCTGATCAAAGAGAAGGAGATCCAAGTTCACAGCAATCGAAAAGCAGCACAAAGGTGTGCACTTGTGCAGCAACACTGGCTTAGCCACAATCACTGTTATGTGGAAAAACCAGGATTGAAATGCAGGTAAGAGGTCAAAGTTTTAGCAGTTTTGCTGCTTGATCTGCAGTAGAGTAAATGGACAAAGAACCAATATTTCTTTACAGCACTTAAGTTGACTTTTGACTGTTGACTGGCAACTTTTTAATTTTACTCCTGTCACCTAACACAACTCTTTCTGACATTTTGACTTTAGGTTTAACAAATCTGAGGGGGCCTAATATTTCCTGTTGTCACAGTCAGCAGGTGCAGACTGTTAGGAGTGGAGAATAGAGGACGCAAATGCAGACGACAACAATGCTTGGAAATGAACTTAATATTAACTGAACGTGAGCTATTTATTAAAGGCTGGTTTTAACTGGACAAAACAAGAAGCAACAGCAAAATTAAACATTAACCTTCACTGGGTGAACTTGCCAAACATAAAAAACCCTGAAGATGGACATAGACATGGACATGTAAATCTGACATGAAAAACCTAAAATGTGAAGACTTGTGTATGAAAATCCAGGAAAACATGGCACGAGCATTGCAGAATAGCTGAAGATCAGACGAGGAATGAATGAAAACACACAAACTAAATGTACACAGGTGGTGATCAGGGGAAACACATGGAGAAACAGCTGATTAGAATGAACATAATGGTGCCACAGGGGAAGTGAAACTAAACACAATGAACATGGGACACCAGAGCTCTAAAACAGAAAACAAAATGGGACGCATACATGACATGAGCTTGACAACATAGGACACGCAGAAATGAAACGTTACAGGTTAAGACGCGCAGACTTAAAATGATGAACCGACGAGAGAGACTTACACAAAGGGATTGATAACACAAAGGGAGATCTAAGAAACAATGAACTATAACAGCAACCTAGGCATAATAGAAGTAAGCTTAGATAACTAAATAAGACTTAAACATAAACAATGAATATCATAAGAAAACTCCAAACATTGGGTCAAACAACCCAGGACCGTCACACCTGTCACTACATCAAACTGATTTTAAATGTAAATGGAGGGAACTACAAGTCATTAAAGATAGACCTATTGGTATATCCATCACTGCTATTTGTCACATTTGAAAAGATGAAGAAAGCACAAAGAAAAATCTAATTTATGAGTTATAGCTCTATACTGAAGGGTTAAAGTGGAGCAGATCTGGTGTGGTGCAGATTTCCCTGAGTTGTAGTTATGACACTTCAATATGTAGCTAGTATTGCATATGAGGAGTGGACACAAAGGGAGTAATGATTTATAAGTGGCAGGTAGTTTTTCACAGTTCAACAAGTATCAGCAAACACACAAATTGTTTCTGTGCAGGTTGTCAAGCAGTGAGTCTAAAGATCCAGCTGCTGTATTTTCATGGAGAGTAAAGAATGTGAAATAGTTTCATTCAGAGATGGAAAAATATGTGAGAAAGAGGAGAGGGGAGGAATAGGAGATGTTATATGTAAATGTAACCACTCTCAGTGACACTTGATAAACTAGAGAATTTAAAGCTTGCATGTAATGTCTTAATTAATTTTTCAGTTTACATGAGGTTATGTTATGAAAAGTCTTGCTAAACAAATTAAAGTATACTAATGTTTGTTGTTCAGCGGGTGGTTGAGTGTACATTTTCACAATCTTACAATGCTGAGATTGCAACCATTCCCTACCTCTCTTGATTGGAGGCCATGACAGTTTGCATATTAACAATCATGAAAAGGCAGCACAGTGGTTAGCACTTGCCTCATAGCAAGAAGGCTTCAAATCCAGCATCTGGTGGATAACTGGTGGTTTTCCTCGTGTCTGCTTGTGAGACACTTCAACAACATGCAGTGGTTAGGTTAATTGGTGATTTCAAATTGCCCATTGGGTGTGAATGGTTGTTTGCCTCTCTGGACAGGTTGCCAGTCTGTCGCAGGGCAGACTACCATAGGGTGAGAGGGCCTGTGGTAGCAGATCTCTCACTACAAACATGAACTATGGCACATCCCTCATTTTTAAGCATAATATATATATATATATATGTATAATTCAGATTAATAGTTGCATATCTGGAAGACAAATTACAAAGCATTTCAGTAAAATAAGTAGTTCAGATATTTCACATTGCAACAGAAGCCCTCCATAGGGGAAACACTGGAGGGGTTTGATTGTTTACATCTAAGTGCTTGTCAGGCTTAATCTAAATTCGGTGCAGCCATACTTGAGCTCATTGCTTGATGGTATATGTGTGGGCATGAGTTTCTGGAAACAGAAACAGGAAACTGTATAATTAGTAGTGGGTCACTGTAAATTTGATTCATACCACATGTCTTGCAATTGCTGATAGTCAAAATCAGAGCAGGGAAATTTTCCTTATTACTCATTACTTAGAAAAACTGTCCAGAGACATTTTAAGATCAGTGATGACCTGTGAGAGTTGAAGGATTTTGGTATCATGAAAGGTTTAGATTGTGCTTGGAGTGGTAAAGTTGTAAGCTATTCCTTTAAGTAACTCCTTTATTGATCAGAATATCAAAGAATAGTATTTCATATTTCATTTGGCACATTTTATCCAAGAGGCCCTTATGCACCTAGACTTATTATGCTTGGGGTTGAGATTCTTTACTGTTTCTTAAATCAAATATCTTTAACCCAAAGAGAATAATGAAGTCGAGCAAATTTCCCCAGAAAATAAGCATTCATATTATTTAGATCCACCTACACGCTTTTGAGAAGTTTTTTTTTAACTTAACTACTTGCATATACTTTGTGCTACAGAAACCGTTCCAGTATCAAAACATTCATCCTTTTCAGGACTACACTGGTACAACTTTTCTTTTTTTGTAACTTTTAAACATATTTAGACATTTAACATTTTATTCGTTTATTTTTTTCCTTTCAAATGAATGGAGAAGTCTTCAAGCCTTCTTCAAACCCACCCTACTATGAAACTTAACTACTTCAGCACACTTTGAGATAGTTAAGTGTAGACTGATTGATTGGCATAGAAACATAGAGGCAGGTGTGTGTGTGTGTGTGTGTTTTATAGTGTCAGATAACCATACACAACCCACCTGAGAGTGAACATGCTTGTGTGTGTGTCTCAGTCTCAGAGGGTTTTGTTATCTACACACGCACACTCTCACACACACACAATACACTCCCTGTTTTGTTTGTATTCTGTAAATTGATCTTGCTGTGTTGAGTAGTCAGATGAGTCAATCACACCACTTTAATGTGAAGACTAGCCTGGTCCTGGGGTTGCTGGGGCAACATGACACATGCTATATAGGTTCAACCAGAAGTTCTCCAATCTGAAAGAAAAGTTATGTGAATGTTATATGATCATGTTATATTATGATGATGATTATGATCTGTTGTTATTTAAAATGTTTATTAAGTCCAAACAGACTGAAAATAAGCACAAACCTGAACATGAGGAGAGGTACTGAGGATGTACGTGACAGTACTGGCAATGTCTTTTGTTTTCAGAGACTGTAAGAGAAATGCAAAGTGCTTCATTTATTTGTATCTGAATAATCATACCAACACTCCACGAACTGCAGGATTAATAATTTTACCTTGGTTGTAGCATAAAAGGCAGCGACTTCATCAGGATTTTTGCTGCTGGCCCGTGATATAAATTCTGTCGCCACTAAACCAGGAGAAATGCTCTGCAAAAAGAGATAATGATAAAGGAACTGTTGGATGTACTGTGCATGTGTCTCACAGCAGCTTATACTTGTGTTAAAGGCACTTTTTCAGCTGGTTACAATGTGTTTTAAAGCCTTACTGTGGCTCGGATATGGGTCTTTTCAGCACGCAGCTCCTGTCTCAGGCCCTCAGTCAGAGCAGTTACAGCATACTTGGTGGCGGTGTAGAGATGAAAATCAGCAAAAGGAATGACTTTATGTCCACACAAACTGCAACAAAAGATGTTTTGAAAGCCATGAAACAACACATTAATTTTTAACTATTACTATTACTATGACTCCTTTTTTCCAGATTAACTACCCAAGTAAAGTCCTTAAACAAATATCCGTTATTTCCCTTCTTAAACCTTGTAATAATGATGTGATTACAAAATAATCCTGATCTACAAACATTTTCCACAATAAGAAAAAAATCAAATCAATAAATAATGATTACTGCATTTCATTTAGTGGCTTCGGGTTTAAGTGAAAGAAGCACGGTCTGTTGCAGTAGGAAACATGTTTTTGGTGTCACTGGACCAAAAGCCCATAAATGACCTTTATCCATATTGTAATTCTTATACTAACAAGTGGTACTATATTCCACACCCCCTCTAAGTTTGTTTTTGGGTTTCAGAAAATCTAGTCTATGTTAGGAGAATTTGGCTTCTCGCAGGTTTACATCAGTTCAGAGCAGGGGAGATTTATCAGACAAGAAACACAAAGAGGAACAACATCAGTAGAGAAAATACAGAAAGACATGCCCAGGCAAGACAGATTTAATCATCGTTGTGTGTTGCATTATTTGGCTTGAATTTAACAGATAGTCATCTCTATGCATAAGAACCATGAGTATTGTTTGCTTTTCCTGTTAGCCAAATGTGTGATTTGAAAAAGGTCTGTTGAGTCATGTTGCTACAGGATGGTCTTAATCAGACTAAATGATGATTAGAATCATATTATGACATTTATGTGACATTTAAATTGACAGATTTCAAAGTTCTGTCACTTTCTATTAGCAAGTAAAACTGCACCTGTTTATGTTTATGATGTGCCCATCGTCCACGTTTCTCTCTTTCATTGACTGATAAGCTTCACGTGTGCAAATGCTCAGTGCAAGAACGTTCACCTGTAAGAGACCAAGCAGAGAAATAAACAACAAAGAAAATCAAAATTCTCCAGTGGAGTTGTTTGCCTACTTTCGTGGAACTTTTCAACTTTCTGAGTTTTGTCCTATTGCACTTATTTTAACAAACTATGTTGTTTTGCAGAATTTTAGTCAGAGTCATGACTTTGGTTGTATAAGAATTTCTTTTTTTTGTGATGGATTATACTCAGCAGAATGTGATTTAATGGATGACTTGTTTGGAAATGGTTATACTGGTTCATTTACATTAAAATAAACTTTCTTTCTCTCTGTCTAATATAAGCCTAATGCAGCTGAAAATTTTCTGCATGATAGTAAGTTTAGTTCTGTCCAAATTTCTGCTTTTGATATGGACTAAATTGAAAGTTTCATGTTTCATATTCTAAAAACTATGAACAAATCAACTTAAAACTGATCATTTAATTGCTCTTCTGGGAAATCACTCCTGTGAACGCTTCTTTCAAACAGAACTGCAGATAATTTTTTTCTAAAATAACTCTGAGATCTTACATCCATGATGTTCTTCCAGGCACTGGTTTTGCCACTTAGCAGTGGCTCTGGATGAGATAAGCCAGCGTTGTTGATGCACACATCCACACCTTTGTGCTGCTCTTTGATCGCTACGAACATGGCCAGAATCTCCTCTTCTTTGGTCAAGTCACACTTGAAAGGAACCAAAACACCAGGGTGGCCGGCACTCTGACACTCTGCTGCCAGTTTCTGAAACCAAGAAGGGAATGATGACAGAGGTTTAGCTTCAAAATAACTCTGCCCTGTAATTACTGTAAATTTGTGGATTTCAGTTTTCATAACACAGCTGATCAGTAACTTTGTACAACACTGGAAGTCAGATTTTTGTCTCCAACTGCAAAAACATTCTTCTCACTGGGTCTCAACTCATGTCTGAACACATCCTGCCATCAGCTGTTTCATCAGATCTGCTGCACAGTAACTTATCTTTCTATCT